GGTTGGACCCACGCGCGCCCGAGCGCTCGTCCGGATGTCGCGCGCGACGAACGCGGCGCGCGATGCGAGCGAGGCGCTCGCGCGCGCGACGACGCGCGCGGCCGATGAAGATTCAACAGGCGTTTCGAAGACATCGCGCGCGACGACGCGGGCTCGACGCGCGCGTGGGCGGCGGTGCGGTCGAGGACGCGGTGTCGATGGTGATGCGGAGTGAGTCCGAGCGCGTGGTGCGGTGCGGGATGCTCACGATTGCGTGGTTCGCGATGTCCACGGGATTGGCGCTGTTTAACAAGGAGACGATGGGCGCGAAGCGGGGTGGATTCCCGGCGCCGTTGTTGCTCACGGCGACGCAGTTTGCGATGCAGTACGTCTTTGCGCGCGTGCTCATTGGTTCGGGGTTCATAGAGGGAGAGGAACGCCGGCGGGGGGGGCGAGAGGAGGTGCCGAGCGGGACGTTTTGGCGCGCGTTGGCGCCCGTCGGCGCGGCGATGGGATTGGACATCGCGCTGAGTAATTTGTCCTTAGTGTTCATCACGGTGTCGACGTACACGGTGGTGAAGACGAGTACGATCGTGTTCACGCTCGGGTTGGCGTTTTTATTTAGGTTTGAGCGACCGACGTGGTACCTGGGGGCGGTCGTCGGCGCGGTTGTGGTCGGGCAGGTGATGTCGGCGGAGGCGTCGAACGCGCAGTTCAATTCCGTGGGGTTCTACATATGCCTCGCGTCGGCGCTCATGAGCGCCCTGCGCTGGATTCTTTCGCAACGGGTGATGCATAGGGATAAGGACGAGCCCGGGGATCACGCTCGCGGGATTAAGGAGTCGTATTTAGTGGACCATCCGGTGGTCTTCGTGTACTTGGTCATGCCGGTGATGTGCGGTGTCGTGTTCACGTTTTCGTGCCTGAAGGAGCGATGGTGGGTCACGATTCCCGCTTCGCCGTGGTTTGCGAATTCAATAGATATCTTCGCGGATTTCGTGATATTCACCGTCTGGGCGATGGTTGCGTTTTGCCTGACGCTCGCCGAGTTCGCTCTGCTCAACGAGACGAGCGCGTTGACCATCATGATGATAGGCGTTCTCAAGGATATTCTCGCCATCGTCCTCGGTATCTTGATTTTCGGAGACAAGTTCGGCGTCGGTAACGTCGGAGGTTTGATCCTGTGCATCCTGGGTGTGATCGGGTATAACAAATATAAGCTCGACGTGATGAAGCGCAAGGCGCTCGCGAACGCCACTCGCCGCGGCGACGACGACGACGGCGACGACGGCGACGGCGACGACGGCGGCGACGGCGACGACGTCCCACTCGTGAACATCGTCGCGGGCGGCTTAGAGCGTCGTCCACGCGAGAGCCATCACACGGCGTCGAGCGATCTCACGGTTCATTCCTAGTCTAGACATTGTAGCCGTAGACGAGGCGGTTCGCCTTCGACGCCGGAGCTCACGTCTCCAAACCCGCGCGCACTTCCTCCAACAGCGCACGCGCCGCCACTAATTCCTCGCTCTCGCGCACCCCATCGTCCAATTCGAAGTGTTTCACCGTGCTCTCCAAATCGTTCCTCGCGTCGATCAACCGCGTGGCGTTATCGTGCACCATCATCGTCGACTCCTGCAACACGTTTTCCTGCGTCCACGGTCCGCCATCCCATCGTCAGTCGTCCCCACGCCCTCACGCACGCTCGACACCACCATCGCGCGCGTCTTCGATCGTCGTCGCACCTGTTGTTTCACGTCGCTCGCGTCCGCGCCCCGCGCGCGCATCGCTCGCGTCTCGCGTTCGCCCAGCTCGACCTCCTCCGCGTACATCGCGCGCTCGCGAAACAGTCGACGGAGCGAGCCCGTCTTGATCTTGATCGCCCGTTTCGCGTCCTCCGCGCTCGCTCTCGGTGTCGCCTCCATCGCGCTCGGCGTCAGAAAGTGCGGCGATGGGCGATGGGACCGAGGCGAGGTCGTTGACTCTTCGGGACGGGACGGGGCGGAGCGGGCGTGAATGATTCCGTGGAACGCGTGGGCGTGTGATTACTCGTCGTCGTCGTCGTCGTCGTCTACTACTTCTTCTCCTTCTTCGTCTCCTTCGTCGTCGCCGTCTCCTTCTTCGTCGTCGTCTCCTTCGTCGTCGTCGTCGTCGTCGTCGTCGCCGGTGCGGATCTCCGGAAGCTCGCCGTCGGAGTCGTCGGAGAGCTCGGGCGGGGCGATTTTGGACGCGCCGACGCCGAGACCGACGGGAACGGGATTGGTGTCCCACATATCGTCCTTCGTCGAGCGCTTCTGGAACGCGGGTGATTGCGTGGAGAAGGAGATGAAATCCGAGGGCGGTCCGCTCTTAGGCTCGACGAATGAGGACGCGGCGGCGGCGGCGGCGGCGAAACCGCTCGACGGCGCGGCGGCGAAACCAGGCGCGCTGGGCGCGGGTTCAGACGATGGACGCGACGCCTTGGGAGCGTCGTCGCCCGCGTTGATGGTGGCGGCACCATCCGTGTCCATCGGTTCGTCTCGAGTCGCCTCGACCGAGTCCGCCCGCGCGGGTTCGTCGGGACTCAAATCCGGCGCGGGCGCCGAATCGGAAGCCGTCTTGTAGTAATCGCCCACGCTCGCTCGTAGGGCACCCGCGGAATCGTATCTCGCCGCATCGTCGAAATCACGCGTCGCGTTCAGCGCATCCCACTGCGGCGCCGATGCGAAATTATTCTCGCCGCGCTCGATCGGAGGCGCGATCGCCCGCGACGCCAAAGGCGGCGCCGACGGATGCATCAGAGCGTTCAGCGCGAGCGATGCCTGCATGCACTTGATCGACGTTTGCGGATCGAGCGATCCCTTGGAGAATAACGCGATGGCGAGCGGCAGATTCGGAGATCGAAACGGCCTCGGAGCGAGAACCGACGCGAGAAGCGCGTCGTACGCCGCGTCTCGGCGATCGGCGCTCACTTCGTCAATGTCAGACGTAGACGTCGCGCACGACTGCTCCGCGGCGAGCGCGATCACGTGATCGACCTTTGTGCGAACGCCCGGTGCCAACATCGCTCCACCACTCGTGCACATCGCCGCGAGCGCGCGAAGCGCTGATGTTTGCAGCTTCATCTCTTCCAGTACCGCCGCGCCGGCGGATGGGCCGTCGACGTCATCCAAAATCGCCACCGTCGTGAGATCGTCCAAACCTTCAGCCGTGGCGTTACCCCACGCGCCGCCCTTCTTACGCTTCTTCGACGTCTTTCCTTCCTCTGATGCACCGCTACGCTTCGTGCGCGTGCGAGGCTTGGCGTCTTGAATGATGAAGGACCCCACGGCGGCGGCGAGCTCGCCGCTCGCGTACGCTCCGCCGAGCGCGTACGACGCCGTCGCGACGACATCGTGCACTCTCGCTCGAACGCGCGCGAGGTGTACGCTGCTATCACCATCGCGCGCGCCGTTCGTCGACGTCGGCGCGCTCGTTCGAAGCGTGTGTTCGAGGGCGCGGGCGACGCGTCCGCCGTACGGCAGCGCGAGTATTCGGGCGTTCTGAAGAAGAGCGTCCAGCATCCCCAACGCAGCCAAGTGCACGTGAGGAAGAGCGATGATGAGCTCGATCGAAACGGGCACCGGGGCTAACCCCGGAACGCTCGAGAACGGTGTGCCATCGCACGCGAGCGCGCGAGAAGCGAGCGTCACCGCCGCGGCGCACGGCATCGGCACCGCCTCTGGAAACGACGCGCGAAACATCTCCTCCAGACAGTTCATCATCGAAATCGCTCGGTCCGTCGCCGCGATCGCCGCGATGCGTTTCTCATCCCCCAACCTCTTCGGCGCCGCCTCGTTCGTGGGCGCGAGCGCGGCGTCGAGTTGTCGCCTGAACTCTCCGTCCTCCGCGCCGTCGAGCGCGTCGTTCAACGCCGCGTGCGCCTCGTACATCAATCGTCGCGCGTGCTCGCTCCAAGACGCGGCGTCGCCCTGAATTCTCGACATCGACGCTAAACACGCGATCGCGCTCTCTCGCGCCTCCGTGCCTGTGCTCGCGCACGCGCGCGCCGCGCACGCGTCCTCCAGCGTCTTCGCGTGCGGCCGCAGCGCGCTCGGATGCGCTCGCGCGCACGCCCTCGCGAGTTCGAACCCCGCGACGGACCCTTCGCGCATCGCTCGCAACACCCCTTGCCACGCGTGCGATATCGCCTGCGCGGCGTCTCTACGAACGCCCGGAACCTCCACCACCGCCCCCGCCCGCGCGAGCGTCTCCGTCAACGCCTCGCACGCCGCCTCGAACGCGTCGCCGCGCCCGTCCGACTCCCCTCGCACCCCACCCCCCAAGACGTTCACAAACGTCCCGAACCACTTCACGAAAAACCGCCCATCGCTCGCCCTGACCAGGGCCTCGATCGTCCGTCGTCCGTCGACGTCGCCGCCGCGTCCCGCCGCCGCCGCAGCC